CGAGAGTGCTCGTCTGACTGACCCTACATTCACCAGAGCACAAATCCTTTCATCTCAAAGACCACAATATAGTTGTGCCGCCTCGATTATGTATCCTCGTTTCAGTAACATGTGACGTACCGTTCGACGGTGAAGGAGTCACCGACCAACTAACCTCGCTGCTTTTCACACACGGGATTTCCGTAGCACGAGGAATAGTCAATGTCACCGACGGCCGAACGGACTTGCTGTTGACCAATTTCACCTCCGAGCAACGGCACCTTCCAAAAGGCACGACGTTGGCACATTTCGACGATATCGCAGATGTTTGTGACTGCTTTTTAGTACTCGAAGCAACACCTGCACAATACCCACGTGACCTAGCACCTAACCTTGACGTCAGCCCTACTTTAACTCAGCAACAGCGGAAATGCCTGCTTGTGCTGCTAGACAAGTTCCACGACTGTTTTGCGTCAACCACGAAAGTTGGCGGGACGTCCTTGAGCAAGCACCGAATGATCACAGAGCACACGGCTTGACCAATCCATCAAACTCCGTACCGTGTGGCTTCGAAAGAACGAGAAGCTATAGAACAGCAAGTAACAAAAATACTTGAAGACGACGTCATTCAACCGTCGAAAAGCCTCTGGGCATCATCTGTTGCTCTAGTGAAAAGGAAGGACGGCAGCCTGCCTTTCTGTGTGGACTATTGAAAGCTAAATCAGGTTACAAAAAAGGACGTGTACCCACTTCCGCGCATAGATTATTCGATTGGCAGGCTTCGTAACGCACGTTACTTCTCTTCCATGGACTTAAAGAGCGGATATTGGCAAGTTGAAATAGACTCCAGGGATCGTGAAAAAACCGCTTTCATGATGCCAGATGGACTGTACGAATTTAAGGTTGTACCATTTGGCTTTGCTGCGCGCCTGCTACTTTCCAGCGTCTCATGGATACCAATCTCTCTGGGCTTAAATGGAAAACCTGCCTAGTATACCTTGACGACGTCATTGTGTTTTCTACAACGTTTGACGAACACCTTGAACGATTGCAAATGGTCTTCCATGTCATACGGGCCGCAGGCTTGACGCTCAAGCCGGAGAAATGTCATTTCTGTTTTGAGGAACTGCAGTTTCTTGACCATGTCGTCAGTTACGAAGGAGTTCGTCCAGACCCCGAAAAAGTTGCCGCCGTTGCACAGTTTCCAACACCATCAGATAAAAAGGCAGTGAGACGTTTTCTGGGTCTCTGTGCATATTATCGGCGATTCATTCCTGATTTCGCGCGCATTGCGTCACCTTTAACTCGTCTCACGAGGGATGATGTTGCATTTGTTTGGGGCGACGAACAGAATGCTGCTTTCAATGACTTGCGGCGACGTCTACAGACGACCTCCGTGCTTGCCCATTTTAATATACAGCCCCTACAGTGCTCCATACTGACGCCAGCAATGTTGGCCTCGGAGCTGTGCTTGTGCACCGTCAGGACTACGAGGAAAGAGTGATTGCTTACGCAAGCAGAACTCGGTCACGCACAGAAGCAAATTACTCGACCACTGAAAAGGAATGCCTCACCGTGGTGTGGGCAGTTATGAAATCTCGCCCATACCTGTACGGCCACCCATTCAAGGTTATCAGTGACCACCATTCGTTGTGTTGGTTAACAAGTCTGAATGATCCTTCTGGGCGATTGGCACGCTGGAGCCTTAGACTGCAGGAGTTCGATATAACGTTGGTGTATAAGTCGGGAAAAGTACACACGGACGCCGACTGCCTATGTCGATCCCCAATAGAGTCGGCTGCTGCTTTTGATGAAGAGACAGCGTTCCTCGGAATCCTCGACACGTCAGTGATCGCAGATCACCAGCATGACAATCCTGAGCTACTTGGCTTGATTAATTATTTAAAAGGACGAAGCCAGAATGCACCCAAAGCCTTTACAAGAGGACTATCGTCGCTCTGTCTGCGAAACAATGTCTTTTACAAAATGAACTTCTCGTCGGACGGGTCCACCTACCTGCTTGTCGTTCCTACCCCTCTTCGTTCTGAGGTGTTGGAAGCGTGCCACAACGAGGTAACATCTGGACATTTAGGCTACATGCGCACACCGAGCAGAGTTCGAGGCAGATATTACTGGCCTAGACTCACCGCTGCCGTGAAGCATCATGTTCGTACCTGCCTCGATTGCCAGCGGCGCAAGACACATCCAACGAAACGAGCCGGTTTGCTACACCCTGTCCAGATCCCGACAATGCCATTTGACCAAATCGGAATGGACCTTTTGGGCCCACTTCCCACCTCTAGTGTTGGTAACCGCTGGGTTATAGTGGTGACCGACTTACCTTACTCGCTACGCCAAGACAAAAGCCATCCAGAGAGGCACAGCAGAGGAGGTAGCCCGGTTTTTCATAAAGAACACTCTGCTGAGACACGGTGCGCCGTCGATCGTCATAGCAGATCGCGGAACCGCTTTCACGGCCGCGCTTTTAGATCATGTGTTGGTGCTCAGCGGTACTATTCATCGCAAGTCGACAGCTTACCATGCAGAAACCAACGGGTTGACCAAGCGACTTAACAAAACTCTGGAAGACATGCTTTCAATGTATGTGGACATCGAACACAAAAACTGGGACGAGATTCTTCCTTACATAACGTTCGCATACAATACTTCGAAACAAGAAACCACACGGATGACCCCATTCAGCCTTGTTCACGGACGAGAAGTAAGAATGATGTTAGGCGCGATGCTGCCACATGAATGCGATGACAACGAAACGAGTGCTGACGCGTTTACTCAACGCGCAGAGGAAGCCAGGCAGCTCGCACGTCTGCGAATATACCAACAGCAAGAGTGCGACGCAGGCCGCTATAACCAACGTCATACACCTGTAACATACGAAACCGGAGAAAGGGTATGGGTGTGGACGCCTGTACGAAGATGGGGACTATCCGAAAAGTCGCTCAGAAGGTACTTTGGACCTTATCGAGTGCTGCGACGACTAAGTGACGTTACCGATAAAGTCGTCCCGGATAGCCCAAACTGTTCAAGGCGTCGCCAGCACCGACCTGAGCTTGTGCACGTTGTGCGCATTAAGCCATACGTCAGCAAGTGACTCTGCGAGGCACCGTCGCTTCTACAAAGTGAATTCATGCGCGAATTACTGCCTCAGCTATAGCATCGGGGCGATGCTCTTTTAAGGGGAGGCAAATGCCGCTGCCCGAAACAAAGAACGAAGACGATGTGCGCGCCAACAGCCTCGCGAAAAGGGGGACTGAAGAAGACGACGTGCTTTTGTTTTGCTCGCCTGCTCTTGGCTCCTGCATAGAAACACAAGCCGTCAGTTTTCAGACTCAACGTCTCGGTGCACTGCTTACGTTGAACCGCGACAATATGCTCTGAAACTAACAGGCAGTCTTACACTCCGTTTTTCATCGTGCACAGCCTTCCGACCAACACTAAACTCACTGCAACGCTTGTGATGTGTAGCATGTGCATGCACTTGCCATAATACACGTCTTTGAAATGATGATGAATATCCTTCGGTGAAGTTCCTTTGGTGTGCAAAAAGTGAATGACCCAAGGAATGTCACTCTCGGTGGAAGCAACAGTTGGTACCTACATCTTGGGACCGAAATTTAGTGGCGTAGCAAAGCGCAGCCGTATGGAATGGGGACAGGGGAACAGCTATGCACAGCCGTCTTATGCAAAGTTCAATTCGTCTTGCACCATGGTGGCATACCAAGTGGAAGACGTGTAGCACCAGAATTCTCACAAAGCCTTCTGTCAGCCCCCTTTTTGTCACATGTCTTTGAGGATGCGGGCTTCGGAAAGATTGTTTCAGCACTGTTCGGCTTAACGAGTGCCCGGAAATTGGCTAAGTTAAAACTTCAGGTGACAAATTCCAGAATAAAACCACGTGGCCCTGAATGATGCGCACACTTGATTGGACTTGATAAGGATCGTACTACTTGGTCACTGAATCTGTAAAGTAGCACCGTTCGCCTAATCACAGCTCTAACTGAATCATAACGACAATTGTTTTCACCAATTTTCTTCGTCTAAAATGACACTTCTTACTCTCCCATAGTAACCAAAGAACACCTCAACGCAGAAGTTTAATAAAACTCCTGTTTCAGCGTTAGTGAGTTACATCCCGGTAACACACACACGCCAATGCAAATGTGAACCTATTGCTAGACAAAGTTGTTTTGGTTGTTGCTCCAGCATGTTTCCACTGGAGTGAAGTGGCAACTTCGGCCAAGAGAGTGCATTAGCTCGTTTATGAATCAGGGTTAAAAATAAAGCGTTATATGGCAAATAAACTCAGCGGAACCAAGTACATCTGGGCAGCTGGTCTTGACAATGTCCAATTCTTTGCGCACTCAACCTCTGCACAGAAATTGAACTTGTTTTGCCATTACTATTGACACATGAAGGTATACAATGCTTCCGTCTCTTGTAGCACCTCATCTTCTGTTGGCATTTTTATTTCTAAATAGAGTAACCGAAATGTTAGCTTTCACGATAAATTACAGTAAATACTTGGAGTGTGTCCATATCAAATTTTCATACTAGAAAAAAATTACAAAAATTAATCACAAACTTTTTTCTATACGTCACATAGTGCACAGAAAAATTTCGCACTGACTGCACAGCACTATTGCTAGACCGGCACCTACATTTCATTAATAAATGTTGTCCCCAGCGAAAAATAGATGATAGCTGCAATTCAGTGGGCCCACTGCCGAGATATAGTTACCTAAGAATTGAATATAGACATTTATGCTAACTTACTCGCCGCCATGGCTGGTAAAACCATTGGGCTAATGGCACACTCAATAAAAAGTATTGTTGTGCACTCCAAAACATCTCAACACTTATTGGTGTTTTGGAGGTAGACAACTCCGAGTAGTTAGATATATAGACCTTCAAATCTAATCTTATACTACTCCATTCTAATTGAATATACGCACATCACTATTAAATCTATTAAATGTGGTCCTTCAAGAGCTAATACATACCAGTATTTTTATTGAGCGCCGTCGGATGTTCCTAGCGGCTGTGCCGGACGTACCGACCGGTGTGCCTCCGTGCACAGACGGGCTGCTCTTCCCGACTGATGCGGCCATGCGCCTGCTGGAGGCAAGAGTCGTACTGCTCTTGCTGCTACCCGGTGCCGAGGGTGTAGCCTTGCGACGGCTATCCTGAAAGGCGGGGTGAACAAGCACATCCGACTTGGAACAACGCCAAAGAGTCACGCAAATCTCCAACATCAACGCTTCAATGCCTCGAAACCTCTCGAAGCACAGGGGGAGAGGTAAAACTGCTGCGTTATGTCAGCCGATTTTTAAACCTCTAATCCTCGTTTACCGGAATACCTTCATTGTAAACAAAGGGAGACAGTGTTGCCTTGCAGTCAGGGTTGATGCTATAGGTTCACGCATGCAACGAAAATTGGTTGCTTTCTCCGTTATAGGAATTAGTAAAACACGAAAGGAAAACGTGTTCTTTAGTTAGTTCCTTACTGTACATTGATATAAAAAGCTTTCGTAGTGTCTATTGGTGTTTGACAGCTACAGCACCACCTGACGTGAATGCAATAACGTTGAGGCTTAGTCGTACATATCCATACCGACTAGTAACATTCAATAAATGATCAAACAAATGCTTGTAGCAATCTAGTAGTTAATGATAAGAGTAGAACTAGAGAACGCGATAAGAAAGACAAAAGGGAACGACTGATTAGACGCAGAGCTTCGGCTAAGGTCGCCTGCTCACGGCATGTTGAAGCTATTGAAAACCACTGTCCGATCAGAGGGCAGCGCGACACGCATTGTGTCTCCCCGTTGGTGGGCCGCGATTTTTCGCGGGTCACTCGAAACGCACGGTTTATTAATAATCATCATCATCAGCCTGATTACATTCCTCTGCAGGACAAACTGCCTCTCCCATATTCCGCCAGTCAACACGGTTCTTGCTGCTGTCATTTTATACGCACAAACTTCTTGACCTCATCTGCCCAGCCAACTTCCTGTCTCCCCTAACCCGCTTGCCTTCTCTTCGAATCAAGTTGGTTACCCTTAATGACCAGCGGTTATCTTGTCTACGCGCTACATGCCCGGCCCCTGTCCATTTCCTCTTCATTTAGACTATGATATTTTTCCCCCGGTTTGTTTTCTTATCCACTCAGTTCTCTTTTTAATATAGTAATATAATTGAATAATAATGGTAATATATATAGTAACAAAACTAGCCATGGTTATGAGAGACGCCGTGGTAAAGGGCCCTGGAGATTTTGAACGACTGGCTTTCTTTAACGTGCACATAAATATAGTGCCTACACGGGCTTCGGACATTTTCTCCTCCATCACAAATGCAGCCACTCGAGCCGGGATCCTATCCCGCAACATTCAGGTTTACAATAGCGCATCGTAACCACTAGACAACAGCGGTGGGAAAAACGCGCCAAACGGGGCGGACGCTTACAAACGACTCGTTAAGTTAACTAATCGCAGTTGCCACGGTCAGGATGCATTATTTCATTTAACCAAGAACGCCTTGAAAGGTGAGTGGCAAGTACCAAAGGCGTACTTTTTCATGTGTGCGAATTACGTAAACGTTACTGAGGGGATAGCGTACATGGCTCTTGAGGTCGCTGACCCAAAGGTCGTGGGTTTGATTCCCGTTCATGTAACAATTTTTACCATATTGGTGGAATTTTTTCGGAAACCTACCGCTGAAGTCTAGTTGGCCCCGGCATTAAACACCCTAAAGTTAAAACTGTTAAACAGCGAAAAAAAAAGCGTTCAAAGTCTTCTTTGGTTCAACCAGAAGATCCAGCTTGCTCTGAAGTACAAAAGATGCTTTAGAGGTGCAGGCCAGTGGACCTGAAAGCACTGGCTCAACTTTACTAGTTTAGTATGAACATTTAAGCTCGCCGGTAACGCAGAATGCAGTAAGCATTACACTGCATTCTGCATTGTAATGCGCGTCTGTTTGTGTGTTCTTTACAATTACATTATAATTAGGTCTAATAACTTCCCCTATACTCTAATTTACATTATTCTCTGTCAGATCATCTAACAGACAATAATGCCACAGAAAGTATAGGGGGAAGAATGAGGCTCATTAATATTGTGTCAAAACATGGAAAAAACGAGCCATTAAGTATACACTTCTTTTTTTTATTCATTACGAGGGTCTCGTACTAGCAGACTTTATGCCTTTAGGTTGTATACAAGAGACTATTGGTGAGCTGCCAACTCGAAATATGTTCAAGTGCTACATGACGCCAAACAAGCTCATAAAAAGAGTGCCACACTCACCGCCATGGCTACTGGCGGCGCTGACTGACACTCTCATGCTCAAAAATTCACATATATACCCAATAAACTTACTGGTAGGGTAGCCGCCATGGTATCTAAGTGGTAGAGTGTTGAACGCGTTAATCGAAGGTCACAGGTTCTGTTCCTGCTCACGGCAAGCTATCTTTTACCCACTTTTAACTCTTCGCAATAACATTTCAATTCGGTCTAATAACTTCCTCCTATATTTTCCTTGGCATCATTGTTTGTTAGATCATGTTAGATCTCATCAATATTGTATCAAAACACAAAAAAGAGCTGTTACGTATATACTCCTTTTCCTTAATATATATATATATATATATATATATATATATATATATATATATATATATATATATATATATATACTGGACTCTCAGAATTTTGTCGGCAGTTCTGACTAGTCTTTGCTTTGAAGAGAAAAGCTGAAAACGTATTCACCCTTTCAAGGCGCACACGTTTTTTCTCTTGTGCGTGAGCTTGCTGTTGGCCATCCTTGTGCTCAAGGAAGTCTTTGCCCCACAGGTCAAAAATCTTGTTGGACCCGCTATAGGTGGCGATGAACTTCTCGATTTCATTTCTTAGCTGAAATCAAAAATGTCAACTGAAATATGCATGTCTAAATGAAGATATAGTGTCTCAAATGTCCAGCAGAAGCTTAAACATTAGCAGAAACGGAAGAAAAAACAGTAGACTAAAAAATTTGAAATTAACACTGCAAGTGTAGAAATTAGAAGGCCATTCTATCGTTTCAAAAAAACCCTCGTTGGCCCTCATTGCAATGTAGGTTAGGTCAAGTTGTAAAGCATCAAATAAATGTGTTTTTAAAGTCCGTCCATTACTAAAAATTTTCAATGTAAACTAGACCCACGGCGAATACCAATCACTGTCAACAGATACACACCCCATCTTTGTCCCTTTGCTTCGACTAGCAACTACAAACAGCGCTGTTTCCCTAAAGAACTAGTTCGGTTTATGCTAGTTAGTGCAAAGTACTCACTGAGAAAGAGCCCCGCAATAACACAGGGATAAGACACAGCGCTCTTTGTCGCTACTGTGTGTTTTTTCTGCGTCTTTCCACTGATGTTTCTAAATGAGTGCGATTTATTTGATTTCTGTCGCGTACTAGAAGCAGAGATTCTGTCCAATTCACGTGAGAAATCCAGCATTTTTACAACCGAGCTTTTAACGCTTTCATCTGTCGGTTTCGGGCAAACAACTAGCAACATAAGCAGCCTGCCCTATATGGCATCTCTTGACACCTAGCACATGGCACAGCTGCGCATAGTACGTGCAACACAAATAGTTCATCATCATCATCATCATCATCTTCTTCTTTTTCTTCTTCTTCATCATCATCATTATCATTATCATGGGCTTAACCCTGCAGGGCAAAAGTATCTCCCATGTTCCGTCAATCGACCAGCCTTGTGCTTTCTGCTGTCACGTTGTACCTGCAAACATTTTAATCTCAACTGCCCACCCGACTTTCTCCACCTCGCACGTTTGCCCATGTTGTGATTCAGTTATGAAGTTACCTGAATGACCAGCGACTGTGCTGCCTACGCGCTATGTGCTCGGCCCATGTCATTATCATCTTGATTATAGTTATGACTTCATTAATCCCCGTTAGTTACCAGACCCACCCAGCTCTATCCGTGTCTCTTCAAGCTATTTTTGTCATTTTCCTTTTTATTACTCGATGCGTCGTCCTCAATTTAGGTTGAACACTCTTTGTAAGCCTCGGAGTTTCTGTTCCGCCCGTCGGTACCGGCAAGATGGAGCTGTCATGTACATTCCTTTCGAGGAATAGTGTTAGACTGCCATCAACCATTTTACAATTCATGCCGAATGTGCTCCGCCCGATCTTTACTCTTCTTTGTTACTTCACTCTGATGCTTCGTAGTTACTACCTATCCTATTCCCTTACGACTTCGAGTGTCATGACCTATCGCAAGCGCTGTTTTCTGCCAAGACAGTTGCACATTAGTTGAGTGACGTGAATATTGATTTTCAGACCTACGCTTTTGTTTTTCGTCATCAGTTCAGTAACAACGCATTTTAATTCATGTCCTTAGTTACTCACAATGCAATGTCATCAGCGAATCACAAGCTACCAAGGGCCTGAACACTTCTTGTAAACAAGCTATGAATACCAATTTTTAGACCGTGCCTCCATGCTTTCAATCCTTCTTCGTTGGGATACCAATTTTCTTTTGTAGGACACTATGGTGGATGTGGATCCAATGTAGATTTGTTCCAGTATGTTTACGTAGGCTACGCCGAAGCCTCGATTCTGCAGTGCCTGCTGCATCCATGCTGATATTTCACCAAATGAATTGCCTTTTCGCAATACGTAAAGTCCATGTATATATGTTGGTTGTATTCCGTTCATTTCTCTATCACCTGATTTTCAGTATAATTATGCACAATTGTGTACCCTCTACGAAATACTAGTTGGCTCATTGGTCGATTACACTCAAATGTTATTTTATTACTATTCGCTATTATTTGTGTAAACACCTTGTACACAATGGACAATGAGCTGATCAACCTGTAATATTTCATGCCCTTGACTACCCTTCCTCACAGATCAAGATGGTTTTGGCATTCTTGGTAGTTTCTGGTACTCTACCCGTCAAGAGACTTCGTATACGGGGTGGCTAGGTTTTCTAACGCAATCTCTCTTTCTTTCAACAGGTCTCAAGTACTCTTACTGTCACCAGCGGGTTTGCCTGTTTGCATTCCCGTTAGGGCTTTCTTCACTCCCCATCTTTACTGCTAGGATATCACCGTCACCTGGCTTATTACTATTTCTTATGTTAATATCCCTGTTCTCTTGACCCCTGTACCAATCTTCACAGAACTCCTGTGCTACCTCCTATGCTTTGCAATTAGAATACAACAGTATCTTTCATTACTTGTGGCTCAAAATTACCCTTAATAATTTTCTTGCTTTTTCTTAGAACAGTTTTCACTCAACATATTTGCACAGCGCAAGACCACGAGTATTTACGACGTAACCACAGAAGAGACAAGGACAGATAGAGCGCTCTTTCTGTCCTTGTCTCTTCTTCTGTGGTTACGTGGTAACTACTCGTAGTCTTGCGCTGTGCAAATATGTTGATTCCCAATCACAAACTAGCGCAAGCATCTGTCTTATCAAGTTTCCACTCGCACTGCTTGTTCCGAGCCGCCATTTACCAAGATCTATGATGGCTAGAGCTGCAGTGTTATTTTATTTTATTTTTTGTATTCGAGCGCTTTACATATTTTAATGAATATTACAACATACGATTTCACTTCGGTTGGAACTTATATCATCAAAACTTTTCAAGTATTCGCATTGATCCAATGGTCGTGTATCATGCCAAATGTAAACTTCACGTAAAGAAGCGTCGAGCGCAGTGGAGGAGTGCTTTACCATGAATACACCTGTCCACAGAAAAGCTGCCCACTTCAGCAATAATTAATCCCCACATCAATTCATCATTATTTAAGTTAAAATCTTGCTATGGTAGCTTATACACTCTAGTAAATTGTGACGCATTTTACCAGTTCTCAGTAGTATTCTACCAAAAGCAAACCTTCAACTATTTAAAGTTGCTCCAACTTCTCTTTAACCAAAAACAACAATATTTACAAATGAATTCTTTCAAATAAAAACACTGTGTGGCTTGGTTGAATTATGTCTCGTATGCTCATTTTTTATACTATGAGATATGTAATATTCAAATTCTCTTGGAAATTGTTCGCCAAATCACTCATTCCTTCAAATTTGAAATTCGCGATTCGCACAAGCCTGCTGAATGCCTAAAGTGTGACCAGCTTCAAGCAGATACTTTTCTATATTTGAAACGGCTTTTGTTCTTGGAAGTTAGTACGTGTGCTGTAAACGCTGAAGTCCAACGGGCTGTTATGGGGTTAATTGTTAGATGTCACACACAGAGCACACTGTATTTCTGCAGAAGCAGCCGACACCTACCCTGGGGATCTCACCCTGAAGCCTCTGCCTCTCCTTCAACTCCTGCAGGAGGTGCCCTCGGCGGTTCTTTAGGCGCGATGGGTCTGACGCACGCTTTTCCAGCTCCAGATACCTGGACCCAGGGCTTCGTGGCGCTCTGATTTGGCGATGATGAGTTTGTTCTCAGAGTAGAACTCCTTGAGTGCCTTCAGCTGATCCTCCAGCAGTGCCAGTCGCTCCTCTGAGATGTCTGAAAAAACGAAGTCAAAGTTAACAATTATGTCTTCTGGTAACTAAATACTAATAAAAAATACTACCTAAACTAAGTAACATTGATAAATATTTCTCGTTTTGGGATGGAAAAGAGTGGGGCTGTTCAAAGTCAACTTGGAACAAGCTAAACGCAGCAAAATCGCATATTGCTGCACCTCAGGAAACACTCGTGATGTAGCAGGCCAATCCGCAATTTGTATACCCTTACAGCGAAGCTAACTGCTTCATACAACATTTCACATTCAAACCTTGGTAAGCTTTTATTAAGGGGCAGTAATCAGCAAAACTGTGCATTGATGCCATAGAAAGTTCAACGAAAAATATTGTAAGACATTCATAATTATTGTATATTTAAGCCTTTTTGCCTGCAACAAAGTGGCTGAAATACCTCACGAGCAGTCTATATTGCTTAACTTTGAGAGCATGCTTTGTCAATTGCTAGGGAACACCGCAAATACTCTAAAATACCTCAGCCTTCGTCCACCATTTCCATGCACCAATCTATTTGCGGTCGCGGTTAATCTCACGTTAGCTATGCTGCAATGCTAGATGCAGTGACGGTATGCGAAGTGATTTAAACTATCACTGCATAGGGTGCACCGCATATAAATATTGAATCAAATGCCTCAGTACGTTGTTGAAGTCAAAAGATATATAGTAACTCCTCGGCCGCCAAGCTTTAGCAGGTAGAATCAGTGACGAGGTCAAGCTCACCAGAAAAAAAAAACAGGATAGAATGTAAGCAACTGAGAATGTCGTAAAAGTAATTCAAGTCTCTCGTTTGCTTTAGGGACTAATGTTTCATGAAGTAGGTACTGTAAAGATGTTCCAATGATATGGCCGTTTGAAGAGTATCAATTCACCAACATTTAAACTTATTAGATGAAGGGTCCACATCCACGGCTTGCGGTAGGCCGTCCGCTAGCACTTCACAGCGGGCATATATCCCACGTAAAAGAAGGGGAACGCTTTGTTTTATTTTAGTATAAAAACGCACCTCACAAAATTTCTCCTCCAATTTGTTCTTTAACACTCGATTGCACTATCTTGTACAAACACATTGGGCAGCAGAAGTACTATGGGTCATCCACAGACTGATTTGAGCTCTCTGCGTAAATTTATTGAAACACTTCGAGGCTGCAAATCGGTGCAGATCACTATGGCTCCGTTATACACGTTTTCGAACGATCATTCGCAGGATGGCATCCAGTGGAAGCGCGAGGTCACCCTGGCTCGTGATCTGTTCGGTTGTGGAATGCGCGTAATATCATCTGCTAGTTTGGCGGCACCTGTCGGAGCAGATATCAACCGCTTCGAGATCTTCGTCTCTGTTGCTAGACGGCGTGCGTACTGCCGGGAGCACCGGGAAACGAAACTGCGCGACATAGCCCTAACCTGTCGTAACCTCCGAGATTGAGCGTGGACTGTTGGTGCATGGCCTGTCTTGGAGGTCACGACTTGTCAAAGCTCAAATGTTCGAGTGCACTCATCCGAGCTCTGGCCGCTAGTGATGTTTGCGCGTATCATTCGCTGTAGAAACAAGGCAAGCATAAAAAGGAGGCTATGATATTCTTTTCCGCGTGTTCTTTCCTGGTACTAGGCGTATCGCTAAACTTGTAGTGCGAATTGTTTGATGACATTCAAGCCTAAATGCTGACAAATATAAAAAAAAACATTTCAGGGTTCCTTTAGACGAAACTAGCACTTATGTGGTGCTTTGCAACTGTATTTTGTTTGGTCTCGTTTTTAACGAATTGGAAGTCATGAAGTGATGAATCGAAGACAAGTATTTTAGAGCGGCATCGCTCCAGTTCTTCAAACAAGTATTTTTGCTGATGCGTGTATTGAATATATTCCCGCTCCCCCACGAATGTTCGAATAGTTCATGTTTCGAACACTTTTGTAATTGTACTGGCTGTTCAAATCTATTCGCACGAAAGAATTACTATTCGAACTATTTGAACAACGCAAAGACAAATGTAGTTAACGTCCGTTCGACAACGGTCTCCTTCATATTTTTATATGCTTCTCCGCACAACGAACAAACACCGCGGCAAAGCTGTTTTTCAGACTACTACGGTGGCAGACGTATTGACCCAAGGAAACATGAGTTCTAACATGAAGATGGCAGATGTGGCAGAGGTGTTTGGACTCAAAACTTGGGCAAGAATTCTACAACAACAAACGTCGAAGATTTTTAATCACCGAAATTTCAGGTAATCTTAGTCTAACGTCAACAAGGCAGATTTGGAGCTCCTGACTCAAAGAGAGCACACCTTTGTATGCCACATCCCTTGAGCTTTCTCAGAAGGTGAAAGAGGATGGGAGACCGAAGAAATTATTTTATTTATTGTTTTTCGCGTGTTAACTGTTATAGGCCGAACTTTGGTTGCACCAAATTGGGTACATAAGTACAATAAATACAATAAATACACAAATAAAAATTTTAAGAACAACTACTATGAAACACCACTCTGCTAGCACTTAATAAACTAAGTCAAAACAAACTTTCATCTTCCTTCGTCATGAGAGCATGCTTAGAAATCCTCGCTGAATTTTCTACAATTTTTCTTCTAACTATTCAAAGCCATTTAGAAATATTCGAAAAGCATTCGATCTGCATTCGAACATTACTATTGGAAGTCACTTTGCTCACAAAATTTTGTTATTCGCAGAGTTCTATTTAGTTTGTATTACGTTTGTACACTGAGGGTAAAAAATTACCAAACTGAGCATTACTGTACCTCGCCGCAGAGCACACTGTGCCCTCGCAAGATGAATCATCAAATACAGGAGCGCGACATAGATCTTAAAAGGTGTAGTGGTAGATGTGCCCCTCCCCCCTTTTCCGGAACCTTCAGTTACTAGAACCAAACCTGCGCTGTATCCCAGAAATATACGGCAGTCATGCAGCAAGTAGGAATCGCCGTTGTAAGGAGCACCAAACAGAAACCTTGGGGCAGCTTGACGCAAAGCACGCACCTTCAGAGTCGTCAACGTCCAGGTACAGTCGGCATTGGGGTACGCAGCACTTCTTGTACCACGTGAGCAGATCATCCTTGGCACGCGTGATAAACTCCCGCAGGCACGCTTGCTTTCGCCGCTCATACTCGGCAAGATTGGCCCGTAGCTGTGAAGGCGAGAGAACATTGACATAACCGAGGAGCAATTCACGGCACAATTTTAGCATGTTTGCGGGCACGCCGGCACAGAGGTGCTGCAAGCTTGCTTAACATGTGGCCATTTTATTCATTATAGGCAACCAGTAACGCTTGACCGTTTACTGCCTAGTATCATAAATTCGCCACAAATCAAACAAAAATCACAGCATATCCACGGAGTGAATGATTATGAATGGGGCGAAGCGCTGGAGGGTTTCATCGCCAAACTGTGAACCGTCCGCGAATACCGCCCTCTACATAATCAAAGAAGTGACAAACAATAAATTTTATTATTTGTAAGTAGTAGCTATACGTCGCTTCCGTTCCCCCTCCATTATAACGGCTTTATGGTCGGTGAAATGATGGATCGGTGATGCGGCGTGGTGGGATGTTTGCGACGACGAAGTAGTGGGCAGTTTTCAAAGGTGGAAGTATAGGCGGTCACGTGAAAACAAGGGATGGACACAGTGGGAAAATCTATGCATGGTTCAAAAACGCGCATCTGAATACAACGCACGACCATCTTGCATTTCATATTGGCTACTGCTCAACAGTATCGGCTTTACGTTCGCTGATGTGGTGTAGTGGGACGTTTGTAAGGTGGATACATACATACATACATACATACATACATACATACATACATACATACATACATACATACATACATACATACATACATACATACATACATACATACATACATACATACATACATACATACATACATACATACATACATACATACATACGGAGATAGGACAGACCCACATTCTTAGGAGCTTCACCCCTAAAATAAATCCAGCAAGCAATTAACGAAATGGGTGACGCCTCTGATGCCGGCTGCCAACTACTCATGGCAAATGTAGCTTTAAGCTTGAAAAATGAGGCGCTGTCTTGTCTAGGACATTTCATGCTAGAACCAATTGTTTTGTGGCTGAAGGCGAAGGGCTCGAAGCGCGCTCAGCACATCCCACGTCTTCGTTCTTTCTCGCCGAGATGACGTAAGGTCTATCTTCAATAATTTCGTTTATTTAGTGTGTACGCAAGCAAGAGGCACCACAAGACACGTACGTTATTATGAGGCTCGTTTTTTGCTGCAAGGTTCTCGCTGATGTGGTATATGAATAATTCGTGACATAAATGAAAGTATGCATTAGAGTTGAATTTTTCATAATTTACCGGCAGAACCACCGAAATGTTGCCACTTAAAGCTGGAAGATGAAAACAATTTAAATTTTGTTCGGCCTTTTATATATTTAGGTATTAAAGTGCTCATAAAACACTTGTTGCCACGTTTATAACCGAGATATTAGATACAGTGCAGAATCAGAATATTAATAAAAGTTTAGTAATATCACAGGTGAGTAACATGGAAAATGAGGTCCCACAGTTGCATACTTTACCGAGACCTCCTCTACAAGCATTTGTCCCAGTTGCATGTGTTTTATTAAGGGTTCAACTGTGCCGAAAAAAATGTGCGTAGAAAAAACAAGAAAACAAAAGCACAGCTCACTAAATGCCGTGTTGACAACAGTAGGAGAAGGTACCTTAATCTCCAAGATTCACTAAGCAGTTGTCTGGCAACTGCGTTTGTGTATTTTTTATAGTGTTGCCGCCTAAAAAATTCATTATAATATTAGCAATAACTGCTGGGGTTAACGTTTGAAAACCACGATGTGATTATAAGAGACGCCGTAATGAAGTGCCTTGGAAATTTGGACCACCTGTGGGTCTTCAACGTGCACCTAGATCTAAGCACATGTGCCCAAAAACATGAGTCAAAGTGATAACACTGAAATTTAACACATGTTCATCGAATAAAAAAACAAAGGAAGATGTTTGAAGCAAGTGAAACAATAAATATTTGTTGTACATCCCAAAACCCAGATACGATTACAGCAGGGACTGTTGCCATGGGCTCCAAAAATTTTTACCCAGAGGAATATTTTAGCGCTGGTCCAAATTCAAGCACACAGACCTCTAAATTTTTGGCTCAGCTGCCCAGCTTCATAACCAAAGGCCACCATCATATGCGTGCGCGTGGTTCCCCTTGAGGAGGCGGGGAATATTTTAGTGACCCTACCCTCTTTGCTAAGTCACAAGCAGCCCCATCCTTAATGAGAAAATATTGATAAGATTGTATATATCTTCTCTTAAGGTAACTACATTTGAACTGAATAATGTCACATTGTAATCAAAAAGTGGACCAATTTTTCTCTCCTAATGTGCCGACACCTAAACTGCGATATTGGTTGAAAATTGTTTGCGGCCCAAATTTTTAGATTTCTTCTACAAATGTGCGCTTTTATGTTTTTCGCTGAAGTGAAATAATTGTTTGGGCGTAAAACCTGCAATTGGGTAAATTTTATCAAGATAGCGAATGACGGCCACGTCATCGTATTTTTAATTGGACACACACCTCCAGCAGCCACACCCTACATCGTTCGTAGGCACTGATATATTCCTATTGCTGAAGATAGCCTTTAGGATACTACATTTTCTATCAATGCTAACAACTATATAATCACAATTTCAAATAATTATCTGCTTAATTTTATTCTTCCTACTTCCACGAAAAAAAATCTATCGGAAATCTGCGAGGCAGCTCTCAAGAAGTCAAGCAAGCAGCTTACTGCATCCAGAGTCGACGGCGTTAGGTCGGTACTGCAGCTACGGATTCGATGTTGCTCCTCGGGTGGAATGTCCAGTCGGTCAAAAAATAAGGCAAGCTGCTCCTGCAGGCCGGCCAGCTCCCGACGACGGGTCACCTCAAGCTGTTGCAGCTGACCATGCAAGCACACCATAGTTCACTCGCAAGACCACCAGAAAGAGGGCAAAACACAAGACAGGCCCATTTAGAACACCACACATGCAGTTCACAAGGGTAGCCACCCTCACCCTACAGATTATGAAATGTAATTTAGAGGTTCCTTTAAGCCAAGCCAGTAGGTGCAGTAAAAATTAATCAATTCAAACTCACAGTTAAATTCAAACTGACGCCTTGGTCCAGGCCCTGTGTATTATATAAGGGAGGTTCTCGATATTTCCACGGCATTGTATCGACGACGGTCAATTCAAACTGGGATTTTCCGGCTTTTGTCACTCCTCGAAGACGTTCAACCCACCTGATCACAATTCGCTACACAAGTTAACTCGGCTTACCAGACTCACAACAAAGAAACAGACGCATTTTTCAGCAGAATACGAGAATACGGATGCTGATATGAAGGACTCGGTCATTCAGCAAGCGATGCGCATGGACGCATGACAGAAGGAAAACAAGAATGTGCAAATTGCTGATTATTCAGATAGTGCTATATCTGTCATGTGAATAAATGTGTTTAGCTGCATGAGGGCCCTCACATTTCCCATTAGGGCACACTGCTGGCATTGGTGCATTGTGGGCACTTTCTTTCCTATCACTGAGTGATGAATTTTCGTTTTCTCTTAGAGTTCCACAAACCTAATGAAAGAAATCACCTGCCCCAAACGAGAAGTATTTCCTGTATCCCTATGGAGTTAAAATATGCGTTTTGAATTTCGTCCAAGCAGTGTTTGTTCATTCTAGTTCCCGCCCGCCAATTCAAACCATTTAATTTGAACGATTTTATAGTCTCCCTCGAGCTCCAATTACGAAGCTTTTACTATACCACTTGTACCTTACAAAGGCCTAAAAAGCAGTCGTCATGCTCCGACACCATTCCGCGCCACTTTTGACAGGTGTTTGCTATACTTTTATTGAAATACAATAACTAAGCAGAAACAATATCTCTTATACGAGATACACGTAAGGCAATTTCCGGCACGATCGTATAACTTGTACAGCATTATCGTCGGTTTTACCATAAGAACTACCATCTAAATGAATAATGTATTGACTGTGGTAAAGACTGAGCAAGTTGATGATGCCTCTTAAAAGTTCCCACGGAGCTAAACAAAGAAGAAATGTCGAAAAGGGCCAAATAACTCTTTGTGCACCCGTTTTTTTCAGTACCGGCAGTTTTTTCTTTCCATTTCTTGCCCCACTGAAACAAGTGAGAAATAAAAGACATAAGAGTCACAAAAGGAATGCGAAACAAGAGTAATGGTCTGAGTGGCTCGCTCGCTCTGTGTTGTCCACAACTGATGAAGCCAACAGAAGGTTCTCCCATAACCCGGAAGGAATTATTGTGGGCGATACACCATTGTCATTGCAAGTCGTATCCTAACCCATAATTTCCGAGTTATGTGTTCGATGATCTGCCATTTCAGCTATGACTGAGGGCGTTCCATCGTAGCTAAAAGGGGTGGGGAAGAGCTGCGTAAATACTGCCGATTGAAAGCCGGTGCAAACGTGTTTTGTTGACCCATGTTAAATAACGTCGACACTGTACTACTTGCGACAAAGGGCAGAGTTTAATGAATCTTGCATGGCCGGGGCCGCATTATGAACTGGTGTAGTGGGTGAGGCTGGAAACAGACAGTGAGGATAAGATTCTTCGAGTTAGGATTGACACTAATGTAAAAATCTAGAATGCGAATCCTATTTGTTTTCGATAGAAACATATACCACAAGCGAAATCTCTGAGGTCAAAACTGCGCTTGTCGACCTAGAGATAAAGAGTGACACGGGGAGGGGCGGGGGCGTGATGTCCTTCCGGGGGCTGCATAACACTGCTGCGCGGGCCACATGTGGCCCGCAGGTTGCCGACTTTTAGTTTACATCATCATCAGCCTATCCATGGTTTACTGCTGGACAGATGCCCTTCACGATAATCTCAAATTTACCCTGTTCTATGCAAGTACATTCCCTCTTATTCCGGTACTTTTATTAATTTTGTCGCTCTCTGACCATCCACTGCTTCTAACCAGGCCAATTTTTCACTCTTAAAGACAACCGGAATATCGGCGCCCCCTCTTGCCCACTCTACTGTCTTTCTATGTCTTCTTCGTATGTCTGTCATCTTTTCGTGCTTATTCACTCCTCGTGGTTCTCAAGTTAGTCTGCAAGCTTCGGCCTCCCGAGGAAGCCTTTAAAAAAATAGCAAGTCATTGTCACAAACTTCGCTGCGTAAGCCCACCTACATTACAGTTGCACGTTAAAAAATAAATTCAAATGATCAAAATAAATATTCTGGCCACACAGCAAGCTAAGGAGCTCAGTTATGCCGACCTAAGTAGAAGGTCACCGTAAATAAGGGTAAAACAAGTAACACGCCAGGCGATCACTGGAAGGCAAAAACAGCTCACACTTACTTCATAAGCACAAAAAATAACACAAAGAACAAGTGATTCACGTTCCTTTCTCTTGTCCTCGTAAAGTGCAAGCCCTTCTTGCATGATGATAAAGAGAGACAAACTGTAGATGGTATACGGGCACCAGCGAACCTGACAAAAACAGGTGGTAACGGAACACATGGAGAGTTTCGACACCTTTTCTCCACACAGCTTCTCAAGCCTACCTTGCGCTCGTGTATTTAAGGGCATAACAAGGGGCTTGCAATACATGAATACGGTTTATCCAGAAACTAGCGCGATATTTTGAAGGACCACTGACAGCAAATTTCGAATGTGACATAATGGGCAGTATGTATTTACGTAAAGACAAACACGACACCTATGAGATATCAATGGCAGACATAGCCTTGAACATCCTTAGAATCAGTTTTAAAGTGGACGCTGCGCAACTGATCGTAATGCGGAGCCCCTGACGACGCCATCTTTAAAGCAGGGACAATGCAAACACTGACGTCACGAGTTTTCGTTGGCTGGTAGCTCGCACGTGCACTGCTCTGGCGGTATACCTTTCATTTCCCGTTCCGTGCCAGCAATATCGCGTGAATTGCTGTGCTGTGATGTGGCCAGTTTTGTTTGCCGTGCCCCCGGAACTGTTCCTGCCTTGCTCGGTTCTCTTTGAAAGCGAAACTCAGAGTAGGCGCGCTAATAACATCTGTAAATGAATTTCCCCCAGGCACTCCCGTAAACGAGGCTTTCAGTGGCTCATATTCACAAGCTACCTATTGCTATAAAAAATGACGATGTGTAATATTTTTATGTAAGTGCTCATTCAATCAGGGGACGATTCACGAAAAGGTACAATTGATGCGGTATGGTTTTCTATGAAATATTAGAGACGTACAATTTTTTACATTGAAACTCACCATTAAACTCAAAGCGCACCTCTTTTACAAAGATCCACGGGCCTAAATATTATGGATATTATGGCAAGTCATCCCAGTGCTTCAGAGGCAATCGTCTTAGCCCATTCAAGAGAATTAGCTCCCCAAGAGGAAAGCATTATTGCCAATGGAAAATAATACAGGAAGGTACGTTGATGATGCAAAGTATACTAAAATTAAAATTTCAACTCACTTCATCGAGGTAAGCCATCAATTCATCGATGTTGTTTTTTGACAATATAAAATCCTCCTCATCATTCATAACCTTCAGATGGGCTTGCGGCTCAGAGCCAAGCAGGTTCAGCTCTGCAATTATTTCTTTTCGCAGCAAAGACACTTGGCAGGTACGATCAACCTGGAAAAAACAGTGTCCAGCAATGGCTTGCAGTTCTCAGCAGCTGGAAAATTTAGCAACAGAATGAAAATGCTTGTCCACTCAATATTTTTTGTCTGATTTTTTTATATGTTATGCGGACATATTCAAAGTGTACTTAACCAAAAAAAACTTTTTGGAAGAGCACCCGGTGCACAAAAAATCATACGTAAGTATATTTTGAAGATTCTAGTGCTACCTATCGCAATTCTCCCATTTCATGGTTCGATTCATTTAAGAACTACGAACTGTCAAACCATTTCCGCTTCTTTTAACTCATCACTGTATATCTGCCTTACCTTTCTTGCAAATGTTCATGTGCAGTGTCTCTTTTCCTGTTCGCTTTCTTTCCAATCTTTCTTCCCCATTCCCCCTTCCCCTAGTGCAGGGTAGCAAACCGGATGCTCCATTTTCTGGTTAACCTCCCTGCCTTTCCCTCATTTTATTCTCTCTCTCTCTTCATGTGCCCAGGTTCATTTTCTATTTCGCTCAAGAACTAAGGTATTGCAAACTTTTTGTGAAAGATCATCTTCTCTCAAGCACTGTAAATTAAAATGAGAACTTTTCCCAGAAAATATACTATTTGAAAACATGGATGCTCCCTCAGGCGGCTAGGGGGTCAGTGTAACAAGAAAGTGAAATCTGTCTTACAGAGGCAGTACAGCGTTTATTGTGCATTTTTTCGCCTCAAGAGCACACGAATGAACGCTACCGCAGGAAAATATTTTCACGCAAGAACGGCAAGTGGCTCGAAACTGAGCCCGAAACTCAAGCAGGAACGCACGAATGCACGAGACGAACGCACGAGTGTCTGAGCAGCGTGCGCCTTACGTAAAGCGGCCACCGCAGTGAGCGAAGTGACTGCTGTGCACTCGTTAAGGGCCGTTCCACGCGCTTCCCGCACAGCCGCAAAGGACGTGCCGGGACCGCTACCGCACCCAAGCGGATGGTAAAAGAGCGTCGCCGATTCGCTCATTTTACCCCCCCCCCCCCCTCTTTGGGTGCGGCAAGTGTCCCTGCACGTGCGTTTCGGCTGGTCGGGGAGCGAATGTAACAACCCTAGCTGCTGTAACTTCAAAGCAAACTTGCAGTGAAAGCACAAGACGTAGAAAGCGCCCCAAGAACAACTTAAACACGCGCGCTTTTGCGACTATGCCCGATGAGGCGCGCGCGCACCCGAATGCGCAGAGCGAAGGCCTTTATAGCGCGTCCCGCACACGCACTTTGCGCCATCTCGCTACTGATGGTGGAAGCTAGCTGAAGTCGGAGGTATAGAAACTGTGAACAGTGTAGGGTGTAGATAAATATCTTCTCCTTAACAATGTCGTCGACGTTCGCTCCGTGGCTAGTGGTTTCGCGCCGTGCGCCGAGGAGTGAGGGATTGCAAGTTTGACGAACGGTAACTGCACTTTTTCTTTAGAATCTGTTTACGTTTAATAACATTTTAACCGTAGAGCAAACATGTCTGTCAAGCCGTGGTGGCCATCAGGATAAAAACAATTTCGTGTTAAAAAAACAGAATAGCTAAACCTTGGAACCTATTAAAGTATTTTGCCAGCGAGCCCCATGCCAGTTAAAACAAGGCTTTGAAATTTTACGCGTTCGTTTGCCTACTTATAACCTGCTGAAAAGTGGCCTATGCCTAGTATGCTGCCTTTCATGCCTTTCCTTGTTACCATCTTGCAGTGTGCGTAAATATACAGTTATTTATTCTGCGTAAATATACAGTTATTTATTCTGCTGTGACAGAACATCTTCGTGGTCACTTGTCTTGAACAAAAACGCCTTCTTAAATTTCACTTTTGTCTACCCTATGCTAGGTAGGCTATCGCAAATATAGCACAAAGTTTTTCAAGCAATCTTTTCGATGCCGCTGTGATAGCAGACACTAACCTTCTCCCGCTCAAGACCTTGAACCCGAAGCTCCATCTCCTGAAGGTCCTTTTCTGACGGAACGGAGACACTGCACGTGCTCAAGCAATGTGCGCCCAGCTTCGCACACAACTCAGCCTCTTTTTTCTTGAGTTTCTTCTGTGCACGCTCTCGATCTCTTTTCTTCTCTTTCAGGTGCTCCAGGTCTTTCCTGACGGTGTTTTCTTGTTCGAGTATTGAGAGGGACGCCGTGAACTGAAATGAAATAGCAGCATCAGTTGCACTGCTTTCTCCGACAACGCTACCGGGAAAGCTATATCACGTGCTCACGTGCAACCAGACTAGAACTGCATGGTGTACTCTCAAGGGCTGTACATGCGAAACCACGTGTCTGGTGCAGTCTGTAGCGGCTGGCACCAATTCCTCCTAAGCTGGGATTGAGAAAAGGGGGATACAACAGCCACCAGCATGATTCCGACGTGGTTACTCATAGTATTATTCCTTGTGTCAGCCTATGTATCCGATGGCGAAATCGCTTTTTTTTTCAACCACAAACCTTAAGTACTCATAAATATGCACCAAAAACTTCATCATGTCTCTAAAATGCGTGTTTAGGTCATTGAACGCGAGGCAATAGTCTAAATGAAGCGAAGTAGTGCAAGTTGTGGGCTTGTTTTCTTTGTTGGTAATCAATATTACCGTTACTTGATATAGCTGGCAGCCCATCTGAAAAATAACAGTGTGGAGGGAAGCTTGGCATCTCAAGAGGTGCATTATTGGAAATAACTGTCCAATGAGAAATTTGATGTTTTATTTAGCACTGCATCAGCATAAAAATTTATATTTTTGCAAAAAAAGCAAATACTATTTTGTTCAAGTAATTATAGATCAGAAAAGCGCTGATAATGTTCCTTCGAAATTAATTTTAATAGACACTTTTAGTTGGGCGTAGGTAACAAGCCTACGTACGCGGCACAATACGTTGTGTACGCTGCATGCGAAGCGCTCAACGACACTTTCAAGCTCACCGCATTGACCGTACCGAGATACGTTTGGTTCAAGTAGACGTATGTTATTAGAAATAAAACAGGGTTGTCCGCAAATCCTGGCGTCCTCCTCGCAATCTTTCTTTTCCCTTTTTCTTGCGATGCGGGACCAGCAATGTCAAATACGCAGCCCGGCCGTGGTCGAGCGAAGGGATACGCAATGCTCAGGAGGGGGTGAGGGAGGGCAAGAGCGAGGAAGAGTGCAATGTCTCATGAGATCCCTTCACCACTGCTTCGGCAGGCTCAGCATATATGCACAATTTTCGACTCAGTGGTGACACCTGGTGGGACACTTTCTCAACTGTCCATGATTCCTGGCCACGTTATTTCACTGTCACATCCTGTTCTATCTTGATTGAATTGTGGGGTTTAACGTCCCAAAACCACCATGTAATTATGAGAGACGCCGTAGTGGAGGGCTCCGGAAATTTTGACCACCTGGGGTTCTTTGACGTGCGCCCAAATCTGAGCACACGGGCCTACAACATTTCCGCCTCCATCGGAAATGCAGCCGCCACAGCCGGGATATTCTGTTCTACCTTAAATAACTTGAACAAATATATTTCCTTTTGTTCAATCTCGTTGCAAGTTGGTACAAGACAAAAGTAAAAGAACAGACGGAAAGAGACTAGACAAAAACAAAAGAAGAGATGGAAACCCAGAATGCTGTGTGTTCATCTGTCTTGTCCTTGAACAGTTGAAAAAATCGCTGAATATAAACTCGGTAGCCCAACAAGAAGCCTCACTGTAGTCAAGAATGCAACACAACTTCCTAAAAAGATAAGCACGAGGAAGCTATGCACCACTTTATTTGACAGCTCTTGGGTATGCTAACATGTGAATGAAGGGTAATACATTTTTTTACACTAAACATTGCCTCATGTTAGCGACATTTGTGCCAGAATCGCCCTGTCTACATCTCTTGCTGGCGCATTGTTCGCTGTGACGTTGATTAGCTATCGCTATTTTATATAAACATTCATTTTATTCTTTTCGTCATAGCAAGCCTCTCCGTGCACAGAATACATATCCCCAGTCGTCACCATATTTGTCACACAATGAACACCTTAATTAACTGTGTGCTTCCACGTGCCATTTGATCATAAAGCTAAATTGAAGCAGACTCTCTCCAGTTCGAAGAACGAAAGCTAATACAATGTTACAATTCATTTGCGAACATTAAGGAGCGGATACGCCCACATTTAACGATCATAGATGCGTTTCGCAAAAAAAAAAAAAAAGTCATCGGTGACCTTCTGCGATCATCTTACCTCAGGGAGCGGTATCGAAAGCTCTCTGCAAAGCTGGTGCAGGTGATCCTTCAACTGCGCAATTTTCTTTAAAATCGTTTCTTTCATTTCCACGTCACTATCAATGATCTGGTTGAGCAGCGTTTCGATGTGGCTCTTGGTGCGCTCAAAGCGGCTCCGTGTGGGCTCATACTCGAAGCCCAAATCGGCCCACACACTCATCAGTAGCTGTAGTTTTTGTGCGACCATTGTGCAGATTTCTTCAGCCATTTCGCATCTGGGTTCAGAAAGAAACATTCATGCAAACTTCACTGTGGCATCGCTTTTTTTTTATGCACCGACACTCTTACACACTGCCGTTCTCTAGAGGCTTTTTTCTTCTTCCGTAACATTGTGTCACGCTTCTTTTGCGCGCATGCAAAAACTTGCAACTTAGCAGAGCCCTATTTTTCGTAACCTTATATGGCAAAAAGTTACAAATAATGAACCAATCAATGCTACAATCCTCCAAACTAAACAAAAAATGAAAACAGCTTCACTCTGTCTACATTGAAGTCTGCCGTAAGTTTTTTTATGTGCCACGTATTTTCTTACCAAGTACCTTACAGGCCCCAGGGGTGGGGGCATTGAGTAAGGCGGGCGATACACTAGATACATGTACATATACATATGGGGTTGGCAAAAATACATGAGAAAAGATATAATTGCAATATAATTAACAGAAAGCATTTGAGATAAGTATATACATTTAAAGATGACACACGCATGCAAACAGTAAGCGAAGGTGTGCGTTTATTGAGCACAAGAAGGGAGCGGTTACAAGTCACAGCTGCAACAATCTTAAAACGAGTTCAAGTTTTACAAAATAAAAACTAATACCATGCGCGATGAAGGAAAAAAATAACGATATATTTCATAGCGGCAATACAGCGGAGTGAATTCACTGTGCGAGAAAAAAAAGCGCGATAGGCGGGATAACTGCCAGTCAGAAATAGCTCATCTGACGTAGCATACGAGAGATTTGCTTTGATGATGGTTTAGGGTGAAAAAGTTCCCAAACTTCATCCTTGCACTGCGGAAATGCATCAACTCGGTGAAGTTTGTGAAGTGGATCTATAATATATGACGGAATGTTTCATGATTTGTCTCGGCAGCAATGTTATCAGGCAAACTATTCCAGAGAATAATGGCACTTAAGAGTGCCGACTTGTTGAACGCGTTTCTAGAGCCGTACATACACGAATAGCTGAGATGATTGTTTAATCTACGTGATGTGAGATATGGTTTGTGCAGACCAGTAACGGTGATTCGGGTGGAGTGGGTGATTTTATGAAAGAATGAAATCAAGGCAATCTCATGACGGATGTTCAAGAGTGGAAGTGAAAGTTGTCGTTTTACATACAATATACTGGAATGGGGATTGTAGTTATTGGCGATGAAGCGGCTTGCCCTATTCTGATCTTTTTCCAATGTGTCAATTCAGTATTTTTGGTGCGGAGATCGGATCGAACATGTATATTCTAGTTGAGGGCGAACCAGGGTTAATTATGATAATTTGCGAATACTTGAAGGTGCAGCTTTCAAATTACGTCTTAAGAAACCAAGTGACCTGGAGGCGTTGGCAGAGATTGCTTTAATGTGGTACAACCACGATAGAGTAGGTGTAAGTATAATGCCCAACTACCGATATTGTGTTGCTATCGAGATAATAAACTGAATAATGGTGTATAAAAATTCTTATCTGCTAGATTTACGTATGAAGTGATGATGTGTTCAAGCATTTTACACAAAATGCATGTAAGCGAAATAGGACGGTAATTTTCACATGAGGTTTTATTTCCACTTTTGAATACTGGTATTACTTTTGCCAACTTCCATTCAGATGGTATTATGCTAGTTTCTAGAGACTGCTGGAATATATAGAGTAGAATTTTGCTTGGGACCATTACTGTAGTTTTAGCACCTTAGAATTAATTGCATCTACACCGCACGACAAAGATAACTTGAGATTGTTTATGGCTCTAACTATGCCGTCTGGCTCAATGTCTATTGGTTCCATGAATTGGTAGTCAAGCTCGGCTACGTAGGGTATGTTTGTAATGTTTTCTTTCGTGAAGACAAAGGTGAAAAAGAATTAAGTGCTTTTGGGCATTGGCTAGCTGAAAGAGGGACGTTGTTGCAATAGTGCAATGAGATGTCCTGGTTTTCACTAGTGGGATCGATGACTTTCCAAAATTTAGCTGGTTTGTATTTCAGTAGTGTAGGTAGGTAAATAGAATAATACTTCACCTTAGCCTTACTTAAAGCAGCGCAATATGCTTTATTAAGGTTTTATACTTGCGCCAACAAGAAAAACTGCCCGAGCACTTTGCTATATTATATAGCCGATTTTTCTTATTCCGCATTTTCTGAAGATTTCTACTGAACCACGGATTTTATTTACCGTTGATAATTTTAACCAGGAGTACATATTTGTCTAATAACGTACACAAAATATTCTTGAAAAACAGCCAGTCCTCATGAACAGATCGATTGTGTAAGCAAGGTAGGAAAGTATTTAAAAAAACAATGCTAGTTGATCATTATTCTCCTGATAAATGCCTTTCTTATAGTCTCGAATTTGTTTTACATGTACACCGGCTACAGCTCGGGGTATGTTTATCTCTACTTGGAGTAGCGTGTGGTCACTTAATCCGTCCAAGTAATTCGTTTGTTGTATTGTGTCTGGAGCAGTAGTTAGAATAATGTCTAGAATGTTTGCAACACGTGTAGGCTTCAGAACAGTTTGTAAAAGGTTGAAATCTAGAGTTAAGAAACTCATTTGACGTCTGATATGGTGATGACAGCGTGGCCCAGTCAATGAGGAGAAAGTTGAAGTTGTCTTTCAACTATATAGCAACAGTTCTGCATCAAGACAAGAAAAGTCAAGGCTAAAACCTAAGAAGCTTCGCTCCCTAAAAAAGTTCAGCTCAGGAGCAACTCGGAGAGTAAGTTCGTGAACGCGTGGCGTCACTGCAGGAGACGTTTTAACCAGCGTACTTGTACTCGTGGTTGCAGTCTGGAATCGTAAGTGTCCACTTGCTGATATTTCGGCTTTAATGAAACCCCGTGATTACAAATTTTTCATTAGTTTATGGTTTTGCTTGCTGTGTAAGAAGCTGCTACCGCCATTTCCGAGGTCGAAAAAATCATTTACCCTCTTTCCGCAAATTTTCGATCAATATACAAACCATGTGCAATTATGTGACATAAAAAAAAAGAAATTTAAGGCATCTAGCAAGAATTGAGAATAAATGTTCGCCTTGAAATGTGTTTCGGAACACGCCAAGAGGTATGTACAAATACTCCTACGAAGTCATTCCTAAAACAAATTTAGGGCCCGGCTATCCAATGGTAGGTTTCTTAGAGGAACATAGCCAATAGAACAGGTGGGAATAAAACATAAACAAGGTTCCAAAAGGACACTAGCAAACTGGCAAGCCTCAATGTAGATGAGTTACAGCAGGCCAGAAACTTGTCACCAACTGCTTCAGTCACATCGACAAAGTGACAACACTTCAATACAATAAAAAGGGCAGGGTTAGTCGTTCCATAAAAACTGTCGCCGATGTGACACATCCAGCAGTTCGGAGCTCAGCATAGCTTTAGTTGCCTCCTATATTGGAGCCGTGTAGCCCTGGCTTTGGCTGCGTTTACAGACTATGGTGATTTTTTGCTGTTTAGATTTTTGTTCCTCAAATAAAGCTAGCAGTAAACACTGAATGCTAATGTTATCAAAAACAAAAGTGTCTTTAGTAAACAATTATGGTTATGCGCATTATAAGAATGATGTTGATGTATGTTTATTGGTGCAGGGGCTACTTGATAGCCAAAGAGGGCCAATAAATGTTGAAGTGTGTGAACAATGGTTAAGTGCCTGAATAGGGGCCTAAGATTTCTCGCCATAAAAGAGGATAAAAGAACAGGTATTCAAATTATCAGAGTAACGTAAAATCTGTGCAGCTAAAAAGATCGGTGAATAGTTGTGATAAAAATATGGAGACACTTGGTTTGAGCAGGAATATCTCATTAACCGATCTTGTGTCTAGAGGTCATGAGGCAGGTGTCTTTTGCGATGTAGCTACCAGAGCAGCGATCTCCGTTCAGAGATCATGCTACGGATTACCAGCGCAAATTAGGTGACAACAATGAACGTCTTTCAAAATGGCGAAAAGCGAATCATGCTCCAAAAGGGAAACCTTAGCGATGAAAATCGCGGGATGACGAGGCAGTTCCTCTCGGTAGGGTAATGGGAAGTGCTTTATTTCCTGCTAAGATTTAATTCACTGCACTAAATGAAAATATGACTAAAGAGGGACTCAGTTTTGACCACATAACACCTACACTGCTTTAATATAAATATTACTTTATGTTCATGAATAGGTGCGGGCTCTTGTCAGAATATCACGTGAGGCTAAAATTAGATTTCATGGTAAGTAAACCTCTATGGCTAACTTAAACGAAAGAACATGATTGGCAGACACGATCCCTCCTCACCCTGAACAAACCTTTCACACAAGCTAGGTCTGACAATATAGCGAAAGTTGGGCTAGTTGGTGGTTCATGCTTGGTGGTCCAAGCTTGATCTGACTGTTTGGTGACAAGAAGAAACAAATTCAGACCGCACGCATTTACTTGCATGTGGGCACAGCGCCAAAGCTTTAATACTTCACTGGTGGATCTAACGAATTGCAACAAAATTATTTCACATTACGGAAAAACTGTCACGGTGTCATGACACGGACAAAAGGGCAGTCGGCGACTTTGGAGTGAAGCTTTTTATACGAATGAACTTGGGGCCGTGAAACGGAAAATCAAATTGTTGGCAGCAATGCACGCTGTACACAGCTATTGGCACAAAGCATCAGTTGTCGACAAAATTGATCCGTGGTAAGGCGCTTCAGTATTTGTATGTAACGCAGGAGACGTCATAAACGCAGGAGACGAATTTGTATGTAACGCAGGGAGACGTCTGTACAAAGAACCATGTGTAAATGAATTCCGTCTTCCCTTTTCAAGACTACTGCACCACACCATTTTCATATGATTTGACATACATACACACAGTTATAAAAAAACTAGCAATATGTCTGGTGGTCACGTTCATTCGAAAATAAACGAAGCTGTTCGCGTTTGTGCGCCAAAGCCGAACACGTGATCTAATAATAATCTAGAATGCTCCCAGACATTCTGGCGTCGTTTGCGCAAGACACAATGAACACATGCTATGGGCATAAA